TGGGTGGCCTCCTCAGGTGACAGCTTCCGGGCATACCCCTGTTCCAAATAGCTGTCGATCTTGCTCTGGTAGCCTTGTGCAAGCGTGTCATCCTTCCGCAGGCGCCTCTCCAGCTGCTCGAGACGCTGGGCAGCCGTTGCCTTGCTCCGTGGAAGGGTGATGTTGTCCTCCCGCCAGAGAAGCCCCGTTTGCCACCGGCGTCCGGTACGCGTGGTGAGAGTGTCTAGTAGCTGGAGTGCGCGGTCGTCAGCCTTGCTGCGGATTTTCGCAGGCTTGACCCCGAGGGAGTCTAGGGCGAACGACTGCTGGACCAGGTCATGGAGGTCGCTGTCGAGACCCCAGGTGGAGAGGACCACGCCTTCATCGATTCTGCAGCGGTCGGCGATCGTTTTGCCATGAACAACCCACCCTAGCTTGGTCTGTGTAGCTACGGGTGCGTTTGGAGGGCCCTCCGCGATCACCCGTGGTGCGATCAGGCTGTAATTATCCTGTCCGATTAGGAGTCTGGGCTTGGCACAAGACAGCGTTGGTAGTTCAAGTCCCTCCAGGTGGGGGCAGTTTTTCAGCCGTTGAGGGTTGATTGATTGTGTTGGCAGGTTGAACTTGGCATGAGTGTGGACGTTTGTCAAGGTGAAGCTGTCCTGTCTCTGCCTGCCAGCTATGCTGAATGTTACTACCTTGGAGCTGGACTCCTGGTGCTGCTTGCCATCCGTCCATGACAGCCTCAGGGGCCGCGTTGGTCCTGCAAGTCCAAGTTCCTCCGCCAGTTCGCTTTCAATCAAGGACACTGTTGAGCCTTCATCCAGGAGTGCGTATGTATCAGCCGCTGTGTCTCCGTTTCGTACCGTGACCGGAATCACCCTCAGCAGCACCCTTCCACTGTGTTCCGACACGTGGGTTGCCGAGGTGTATGTCGTCTCTGACATGCGTCCTAGCGGTGCTACACTTCCGCGGCCATCGCGGTGTAGTAGCGGATGGTGGGGTTTGCCACACGAGCAGGCCTTCTCCTCGCATACCCTCGCCAGGTGGCCTTCGCCAAGGCAGCGGAAGCACAGCCGTCTGTCACTAACGAACTGCCGACGGGCGTTAAGTGGCTCCGCGGCTAGCTGACGGCAGCTACTTGTGGTGTGCCCAGCTTTGCTGCAGAATAGGCAATGTGGCTTACCGGCGGTGGCCTCCACGACTGTGAACGTTTGGCCTGTGCGTGGAGTGGCATGAGTGACGTCACATGGGCTCGGCTGAGCGACTAGGCATGCAGCCTTGGCCCTCTGTTGAAGCCAGGCAGAGAAGGTGTCCAGGTGCGGGTCTGTGCCGGTTTTAAGCACGTACTCTCCCCACTGGATCCGAAGCCCCCCAGACAGCTTGCCAACTAGCTCCTTGACCAATTGAGGGTTGTAGAGATGGCCGGTGCACTTTGTGCTTCGCATAGTGGCCACAAGGTTGCGGCACAGGGCGCTGATTTCAATCAGTACCTCGATGGCCTCCTCCGACTTCATGCCTCTCTGTGATTTCGTCTTCAGAATGAGATTCTGGACAATCTGGTCCGGGCGGCCGAACCTCATCCTCAAGATGGAGATGACCTCCCCTACATTGTCGGGGAGAGTCATCATCCCCTGTACAGCTTCCTTTGCCTTTCCGCGCAGCGCCTTTTGCAGTCGTCCAAGGTTCTCCCCGTTCGAGAATCCGCACTCTCTGGTCGTGTGCTCCAGGGCGAAGATGAATGCTGGCCACTCGTCAGCATGTCCAGAGAACTGAGGCAAGTCCTTGGCAGTGGACTGCCTTGCCATGAAATGGTGGGTGGTGAGATTAGAGAGGTTTCGACCCGCGTGATTTGTGCTCTTACGTGAACGTCAATTTTTTGCGTCGACGCGAGCTCAGAAAGAGCTTTCGTTTCACGTTGCTTGTGAAGCACGTCGTTTCGCTGACGACAGGAGCGAAAACTGGGGGCGAAAACTTCAAAAAGTGAAAAAAGTGATTTTTGGTGAGGCCAAAGTCGCACAAATATTATTTATAGCTAGTTTAGGCAAAATCGACAAATCGAGTCAATAATCCCAACCTGATAGCAAGGCTAAATTTGCAAAAACTCGCGTCACGTCGAACGTGAGTTGACCTCAGCTCACGTCATGAACGGGAGTTTCGACGCCAAAATTTGCCACACCGACGTGAAATTTCACGGTGTAGTGCAGAACAACGTGAAGCGAAACCTCTCTATTCATGGGGTGTGACTGCCTTGCACTTGTAGGGGTAGGACGTGTGCCATTGGGCTCGTTCCCTGAATCCCGCTCACCTTGGACTTGGTGGTCCAGTAACAGGTCCTGGATTTGACCATTGGCTTCCTCAAGCGCTGCTCCCATGTTTCTCTCCGCGCGCTCGGCGCGCTATGCGCGCTCAGCTAGGCTAATGCGATCCGCGCATGTCAGCTCGGATCCGTTGCCGGTCTCCCGTGATCGACGGGACGAACTTGATCGGACGCTGGCATTACTGCTGCCGCTTGACCGGTTTCTGTTCAACTTCTTCTGGAGTTCTAGCTTCTTGCGGATCAGCTTTCGTTCTACTTCCGCAAGCTCCTCCGCGGCGATACGTTCCGCTTCCGCGTCGAGTTCGTCGATTGAGCGGAGCGAGCGCCGGCTGCTGCAAGACGTTGCTGATGAAGTGGTGAGTGAACGAGCGCTCATCGACCTGCTCCCGTTTTGGTACCCTGCGCTGGCTGCAGCAAGGCCTGCATTTTCGCCGATCTGCGCGTCGTTTGTGTACTGGACACGCTTTTGGTGTGCATGAGGCAAAAAAGGAACAGCCGGGGTCACAGAGCGCGTGTGAGTGTCATGCAAATCGGAACCTAAAAAGGACTGGCCAGCGTACGGCTGGTGAGGTGCTAAATCTACAGCAACATGATGTGGTGCGTGTACGGGATCATTGTTTGCATGCATTTGTGTGGAGGTGCGTGTGTGCGAATATGAAAACGGCCTACTTGTAGAGGAAGCATTACATGTTTCAAAATTGTTTTCAATTTCATGACTTTCATGAACAAACTCGTTCGTGGAACTACTAACATTAGTATTCCGAACAGCAGAACAAACAGGCATATAACTATTTGGTGTGTGGAGACCAGGATCTAACTGGTTGGTGCTTTCTCCAGCTCCACCTCGAGTGATTTCACTTAGCTCAGCCTCTTGTTCCGTCTTGACGATGTCAGCCATTTGCGTTGACTTGCCGGCGTCGTCCTGGGCTGCCGCTGCTGCTGCTGCGTTGTCGTCGTCTCCGAATCGCGTCGGTGCACGAGACAGACGGCCACTCCGTGTGGTGTACATAGGTTCGCTGTGGCGTCGATCCGCGACGCTCCTCAGCTCTCTGGTTGGTTCGAGTATGGCGATGCCGGACCCTCTCCGCAGAGAATCCGGCTCGAAGGACCAATGTTTTCGTGAGATCCTAGTGCCCCGTGGCACAACCCTCGTCACAGACACAAGCTCCTAATTCTCTTGTTGGTTAGAAGGTGTTCTTTATTAATCTGTCCCTGTTCTCGGGAGGTGTGTGATTATAGGAAAAATAGTGTGCAAAGTGAGTCGGACATGTATGGAAAAGTGTTGTATCGTGCTCTTTACAGTGGGTGCCCAATCGGGCAAAGCACAAACGAAAAGGGTGCCGTGAGTCAGTGCTGTCATGCAGCAACAGTCGCAAAGGAGAACGCGAGATCTGATCGCGGCAGTCGGGAAGTGCTGGTATGACTATGATATCCCTCGGAGGAAATTTGAAATGTTTGGCATTGCCTGTGTTTGTTGTTCCGGGGCATCCTCGAGCGAGAGCGGAGGCGGTAATGAGTACCAGCGCGGCAGCGCTACCGTGGTCTCCGCAGAGATGTTGGAGAAGGCATTCAGGTAACAGCGAAGACGATCAGGGACGCGGAGAAGCTTCTCCGTGACATACGACATCGCGTCGATCGACCTGCCACTTGGAACGGTTTCAGCGGTGATGAGTCGAGCGGTGGCGACCCAGACTGAGACTCTACTCCCACTAATTGATCCTGTAGGTATTGTAGATATGTCGATGGAATGTGTTGAAGTGTTTCTCGTCCAAAAGAACACTTTTGTTGAGCACAGTAACTCCTTGAAAGTCATGTCAAAGAGTCACAAAGTTTTTGTTTCCGGAGGAAGTACTAAATGTGAAGATCGGGTTTAGTGACAGATTGAATACAGCGACCACACGTCATCGGACATGACCAAATTACTGATCTCCCTTAACCCTTTATGTACGGTGTGTACCCGAATCGATCACATATGATCGATTCATGATCGATCCGTAAAACCTTCGTAACTCCATCATTTCTTGTCTTAATTCAACAATCGAATGGTCTATTTGGTAGCGGAAACACTCTACGCTTTCCAATGCAACAATCGCCGAAGAGCTACGATGTACGAATCCAGAGATATCGCGTGCCGTATTCTTGTCTCGGCAAATTCAATTTTTTTTATCGATCACTTCGCCATTTTAGGGGAAAATCCCTTTTCGTGTGCTCTTTGACCAACTCAGCACATGATAATAACGTAGTTAGCTGAAGTTTGAATCGCCTCGAAAAGATTTGAGCGTTCTGCGATAGAGAAGAGTGGAATGGCGTTGATGGGGAAATTTGCTCGTATCTTGGGCTTGGAGACGACTTTGATGTGTTCCTGCGCCTGATTTGTAGAAGCTAGTTGATGGATTCTGGTATCCTGGCGTTGCTCTAGCCAGAAGCTTTCCAAAGAGCCGAAGACTGTGGAAATGGAGCGAAGGAGGCCAAAGTTATAGCCTGTTGAAGGTGACAATTGTGCTGAAAATTCAAATTCTGCTTCATTCTGTGCTGGAAATCAGTACATAAAGGGTTAAAGTTGGCTCCCTTTATCCCTGGGTGGACCTAATTCACACGCTATGACAGCTGAGTTTAGTTCAGAAACAAGTTAAATGGTAGCAATCATCCCGCCATTTTTCACAAATCTACACTCAACATGTACATGTAGTTGAAGACTTACTGTTGCACGTGGGTACGGGAGCAGACCAGTGACCAGTCCCATTGCACTGGATAGTTTCAGGACCATTCAAAGAAAAGCCCTCAGTACATTGATAGCTAACATTGTTCCCGTACAGAAACGATGTGGTAGTCAATGAAGGAGACCTTGTGCCATGTGCAGGTACACCAGGGTCAGAACATGTGACATCTGCATGTAATTTGACAGGTTGAAAGGAGAAATACCAGCATGATGACAGTGCCAAGTTACATGGCTCATCGCTTTAAAATGAAGGATATTAATAAACCTTAGCGTCACTATCACCACTATTCAACAGTGGTGATGCCATTGGCAATAGGAGTCAGAAACCTGGTTAATCGCAGGTGTAGAATCAGGTACACTAGGGCAGCAATCAGTTCTGTGTGTCAAGTCATGTTGCCGGGAACAACAGTGCCATCCAATGTTGGGAGCAAAAACGGTGGGAATTGGGACTGCAGACTGCATTGCTTTTATGACTACGTACCATTCAGGGGAAATTTGGAATTAGTCGCTCAGATGGCGGGGCTACATGGAATTACTCATATGAATCTCCCCCCCCCCCCCTCCCCCAATACAAATGCATGTGCGAACACAATGCATGTGCGAACACAATGCATGTGCGAACACAATGCATGTGCGAACACAATGCATGTGCGAACACAATGCATGTGCGAACACAATGCATGTGCGAACACAATGCATGTGCGAACACAATGCATGTGCGAACACAATGCATGTGCGAACACAATGTATGTGCGAACACATGCAAACATACACAGATTACGAACAACAGGATTGCCAACAGGAGCTTGAATTCTTTCTTTCTTTAGTAGTTCAAGGTCTGTCGGCGATGGCCACTCGGTGTTACCTTTTACTGCAGATCATGAAACTGCTTCTACACCCAGTTTGTTGCAGTCTAGTAAGCGATGGTGTCAAAATTATGCATGCAAACGTTGATGAAGTCACTAGACCTTGCCAATGTACACTTGAATTTTTTATTGGTTTCAATTGTATTTGTCTCATAAGTTGCACAACAGTCAAGCAGATCATCCAGGATGGATGGGTTGGTATGCTGACTTAATTGGCCACCTAGAAGCTACTACAAGAATGGCGAACGGACCTAATCTTTAGCTTCAATATAGGAAAATTTAGGACGAGTCTTGGTTTGAAATTTTGACAACGTCTGGGTCCCGGCACCGGCGATCTCCGGCGTGAACGGTTCACAAACCACTTTTGGTCAAAGTTGTACAGGATCGGTGCCGGTCAGATTGTAAGAGCTGGGCACTGCCCAACTTTGCCGGCGGCAACCCCTTGCGATTATTAACCGGATGCTTTTGTTACGACTTCACTGGTTCACATCACCACAATGCTCCGGAAGAGATTGAAAGAAGCCTACCGCCGGTGGCTCCCGGTGTGTACAAACAATATGTGAACCAAGCCATACTCGTCAGCGCAGCACAGAGAAAATGAGGCCGAACCTGAATGGAATGAAAATAATTTCCAAAGCCAGATTCCAAGCTTTTGGAAATGATATTTTTCATCGCTATCAGGTTCGGCCTCATTTTCTCTGTGCCGCGCAGGCGAGTCCACAAAGGACGAGACAGTTCTGTTCGCAGATTGAGTACATTTATGCATGCACATACAGACGGACAGGCATACAATCTCGACAAACACATGCACCAGCAATACACCTCACTACAACACGCATAGACACAGGCCAAGATAACCAATGATTGCATTACACATGGACAGAATATGCACTCTACGCTATACATGTAGCTGGTAATTTGCCAGAAAACGAGCTAAGACTCACCGAGGCACTCTCCTGTGGCACTTTTCTTCGTGTCCGGTTTACACTGGCAGGTGTAGAAAGTTGTTTCATTACCAAGGCACACAGTTTTCTCTGATTGGCAGAAGCTGGACCTGTATCTGCAGTCGTCGACAGCTGTGTTAACATGAATGTAGAGAGGACACGTCAACTATTAGCAGCAGATGTGAAGGGGTTTGGTATGCTTTTAAGAAGCATTGTCCGGACGCAAAGTCCGTGGGGGGGGGGGGGGGGTAAAGGGGCCCGTGCAACCAACCCCCCCCCCCCCCCCAAGAGGTTCGACATTGGTTTTCAAGTATGTGCCATAGTTGTGTCAGATTTGCCTTCAATGGTTCTGGCCTGCATAATGTAAAGTCCCGACAGCCTATGACCCATTCAATGTGTTACTACCCGACTGGTTCTGGCCTGCATAGGGTAAAGTCCTGACAGCCTATGAGTCAATGACCCATCGACAGTGTTACTACCTGAAAGGTTCTGGCCTACACTGGGTAAAGTCCCGACAGCCTATGACCCATCGACAATGTGTTACTACCTGACTGAGTCTGGCAAGCAACAATATTATTTAATCATCTGAACATAAAGTCCTGACAGCCTATGAGTCAATGACCCATCGACAGTGTTACTACCTGAAAGGTTCTGGCCTACACTGGGTAAAGTCCCGACAGCCTATGACCCATCGACAATGTGTTACTACCTGACTGAGTCTGGCAAGCAACAATATTATTTAATTCCCGTAGCTATGCAGAAGACGTTACTTCAGTAACGTCTGGCGCTAGCCAGGGTCCACACAGCTTTAATTTGGTGTTTGTTTGTTTGTTTGTTTGTGTCACGGCTGGAGCTATCCCGTATCTGTCCCGTATCTGTCCCGTATCTGTGACTACAAAGGCTCTACAGGATTGTACATAACAGCTGTCCACAATATTTGCGGGCTCCTGTATCTGTCCCGTACCGTACCAATATTCGTCGTATTATGTATACGACTCCCTGATGTAGAGGGAGATTTGGAAAGAAATAGGGAGACGAAGAGGAAATTAAATTAGAATAGATGCCGATTAGGTGATAGGATGCGTCAGCATAAACATACTTTGGAAGAGAGATCCCGTCGTCTCCAAAATAAGCGTGAACGAGCGATTCAGTGCCGGTCACAGGAAACGTCGGAAGAGAGATCCCGTCGACTCCAGAACGCCCGTGATCGGTAGAGTCCGGCGGTACCAGGCAACGTCAGGACAGACATCCCTTTGAGTCCAGGACGCCCGTGATCGGCTGAGTCTAAGCCGATCCCAGGAAACGTCAGGACAGACATCTCGTCGAGTCCAGAACGTCCGTGATCGGCAGAGTCAGCGCCGGTTCCAGTAAACGTCAGGACAGACATCCCGTCGACGCGCAGAAAAACTAAATCTGCAGCCTCTTTTGCCGTCGAACAGGATACGTTTTATATAGGAGACTGTAAATTTATGTAATGTCCAAATTTCGACGTGAGCAGCAGGTCACTCGCGTTGATTTTTCGACGTGCGAGCCAAATAACGCGAGCTGAACTTTCGCGTCGCAGACATCCCGTCGACGCGCAGAAAAACTAAATCTGCAGCTTCTTTTGCCGTCGGACAGGATACGTATTTTAGGAGACTGTAAAGTTATGTGATGTGCTCCACAGGCAACCATGCATTCGGCGTCGTCATTGGCTCAACAGGTCAATGCACATGTATTACTACAAAAAGGCCAGAAAATCCGATCACTGTATTAAAATCAACTAATGTTCGCTGGCGATTTAATTTCGCTGATTTCGCCGCTTGGTACCAACCGGCCAAAGTAAATCGCAGGCCAACGTTTGTTATATAGGCAAATGATGCATGATTGAGCAATGGATGCATGTGAGAGCAAAAATACCGATCGATTTCAAATTTGACGTGAAACTGCGCGTCACGTCGGAAATAACGTGCATCTTAACCTCTCTAATAGAGAGGTTTCTATTTCTCATCGGCCAAAATTTGTTGATTTACAATATAAGGAGATAAAAAGAAAAGAAGGAGCAAAACAAAAGTAGATGATTATTAGAGAAATAACAATCCGCAATAAATTCTGCAAATACTTTTGCCTAACTCATAAGCAAACCGATTGAAACGTTTTTGCAATACAGTGATGTGGCCAATCAACGAAAAAGACATTCCCATCAGTTCTTATAACATGTACGATGAGCTAGGCAAAAAAAGCATAAAAGCATAGCGCAGGGCCCTGAGCTTCCAAGCTCTCTCGTCATCTGAACACTGTACGAATATCATGTTACCCATTACCCACCAAACTCGGTGCCTCATCAATTTGACATCCGACCCAGCGCATTGTTTTGCCACTCTGCTTCAATGGTGCCATTCCTGATGACTACCTGTGTTTGGATATTTTGATCCTAGTAGTATAAACTGATTTGAGTGGTATGGAAGGCCTTACAGTATTGTCGGGTGCTGAAGAACGGGGGGGGGGGGGGGGGGGGGTCAGCCTCCTGGCCTATGCCGTTCCTATTTTCGTGTACTACAGTCTACGCACAGTTGAGTCCCCGTGCATACATTGGTATGCTGCTCTTTTGAAATCCCAACCTGTTTGTACTCCGGCTCTCTGGTCTTCGGCACCCGACAGTGCTCTATGGGGAAACACCGGTGGGTATAGTCTTGCAGGCTTGGGTCTGGATCTGTAGAGAAATACAAGGTGTGTTCGACCACTCGTCCTCTATGCAGAGTGGCAAGGGTTTGCCAAACACAGGTACTAGTCACATGCTAGAGCCTGGCTGTGCCTTCTGCCCTTTTTGTCTCACCTTCAGTCGGAGCAATTGATGATTGCGGTGGTGTCTTCAGCACCGTGGCAAATGCCGCCTGTGAATGGGGAGCTGTGTGCAGGTTGCTTCCAAACTCACAGTCAATAACGCACAGGTTCGTCCCCCAGCACCGTCCGTTTGCCTGAAACCAGCTACCTATTACAGCTGAGTCATTGTAGTTCAGGCGAAGTCTGTAGCCAGCAAAAGCCGTAGATGTGCTGTTCAACTTGACTGGGTACCAATCAATGCGATTCATAATGAGCGTATGGGAGAACACGTAACGTGACACATCGCTGACAGAGCAAAGCGTTGCATTGAACGAGCTGTTGAATTTCAGTAAACTTCGAGCATCCAGGAAGGCAGCTCCTGATTTGCCGGCACCGCCCTCCATCCTCTGTGTAACTACACAGGCAAGCAGACATATGTATACCAACCCATACACCCACACACCCACATACACCCACACCCACACACACCCACACACACACACCCACCCACCCACACACACCCACACCCACACCCACACCCACATACTCCCACATGCACCACCACACCAACGCCCACATGCACATACACTCACCCACATACCCACCCACCCACATATCCACCCACATACACGCACACGCACACACACACACACCACGCACGCACGCACGCACGCACACACGCACACAAACCGACATAGACAGACACAAACAGACACACATACATACAGACAATTCAATGCTGGATAGGCGGACCACCCAACATGAGCATGACTAAACTGATTACCACTGATCTTACTTTTTTCGTGTTTTAGCATATAAACTGTCGGAGAAGTGAACTGCCTGGAAAGAGAAATATAATGCCAACCCCACAAGGACTCGAGCCTAGGCCTTACTTGTCACGAGCAAATGCTCTTACCATCTGAGCTATGGGACCAGGCCACACGGAGGGTGCTGACAGGTTTTTCACTCCAAAGGCAGCTCACAACACACCATATATCAGTTAGTAGTATAGAGACAGACCCAGGCGCTTCAATTGTGTATCCGTATATTCACTATTCAGCCTACATCAGTACTGTAAGATCACTAATGTTAGCGAACACTTAAAGGGGAAGTTAAGGCAAAAATTAAAATTTCACCAGTTGTAGTCTTCGGGGTGCTGAGTCGAAAGGTCTTGGTCGGAGAAAGCTGAGACACTCCCTTCCTACTTGAATCCCAATCGAACTCGCGCACTTCCACCGAAACTAGGTGACTGCGCCCTACTAGATGGGGATTTGTATGCAAAATGTCACTAAAAGCGCCATTTCGTTCTTATAAAAGCACGGATGACCGCGATTGGCCCATATGTTGTAGTCTTTTGGACGCTGAGTCGACTGGTTTTGGTCCGAAAAGGCTGCGATGCAGCGTTCCTCCTTTATTCCCAATCGAACATGGTTGAACAAGTGGTCACGTGCTCCTGGGTGCCAAAATCACCTGGTCACCACGCCAGCAGGCGACAACTTTCACACCAAGGTTCAACTCGAGTTCAACTCGAGTGACAGGACTGCACCCAAAAAAGGTCAAACAGACTAGTAAGTTGTACCCTGCAGGCACGGTGACCAGGTGACTGGTGTACGCACGAGCACGTGACCGCTTGTTCAACCATGTTCGATTGGGAATAAAGGAGGAACGCTGCATCGCAGCCTTTTCCGACTAAAACCAGTCGACACAGCGTCCAAAAGACTACAACATATGGGCCAATCGCGGTCATCCGTGCTTTTATAAGAACGAAATGGCGCTTTTAGTGACATTTTGCATACAAATCCCCATCTAGTAGGGCGCAATCACCCAGTTTCGGTGGAAGTGCGCGAGTTCGATTGGGATTCAAGTAGGAAGGGAGCGTCTCAGCTTTCTCGGGCCAAGACCATTCGACTCAGCACCCCGAAGACTACAACTGGTGAACTTTTAATTTTTGCCTTAACTTCCCCTTTAATGGGGAAGTGCATCAATTCTTCAAGTAGGGTCCAGAAGAAAGACAATTTGATATTGGGTCGAATGGCCTATCTCTCGCTGGCATAATTATGATAAGCCAAACTTGTCAAATCGTCAATCGCATAATCCACGTTGCTATAGCGACCAGCGCAGTGATGACGCACATTCTACATAGCTAAGCGAGAGAGAAGGTCGATCACTGCAGAATTTGGTCATTTTTCAATTGTCTTATTGTATTCACGATGTGCAAGAACACACATGCCGGCGTGTATGATGACTCTAGGGTGGATCTCTTCCCAGAGGGAAATGTCCGCCTACAGGCAAAGTGACAAACATTAACTTACAATCCCATGGCTGAGGCTTCACAAGAATATCTGCACAAACCACATAACCAAAACCATAGGAAAAGCACAAGACTTTGCAAGCCATGCATAAAGCCACACATATGGAGTTTAACCCTTTAAGAGCCGCCCCATACTTGAATGCGTCGTAAACGACGCATTCAAATGCAAAACTTCAAAAGATCGTAACTCAGTCCAATCTCGCTCAAATCCAGTGATCGAAATATCCAGGGCGAAGAGAAAACTCTCACCTGTCGGGAGAAACAATCCGCGAAGCGCTGCGAGCAACGGTCCCTGAGATAAATCACTCGTAAGTTGAGCCGCGATCGCGGCAATTTCAAAAGCGCGCAGTGCGACTTTAGTATTGAGAATTTTGAGACTTTTCGTCACGCTGGTTTACTCGAATTTGCACGGGTTTCACTGTTGATATTGTCAAGAGTACACAGCGAAAAAATTGGAACTCCACGATCGAGCAAAATGAAATATCTGGAGCGGGACGCAATTGGACGCATTTGGGGCATTTTTCGTACTGTCACTGCGATCTATCGCTGGATGGACGGTGTGCTGGCTATCATGATCGACCTCATTCTCTTCCTCTCGCGGAGACCTTTCCAGGAAGCCCTAGATTGTGAGGATTGAGTGAGTAGAACTGAAGCTATGATCCAAGGAACACGAAAATGCAGAATTTTGAAATTTTCCTGTGGCTCTTAAAGGGTTAAAAAATTCACCGCCCAAGCACGACACAATCTGACTGAGTTTCCCATAAAATTAATTAGAATTACGGTTGAAACCGCCCGCCATAAGGTGCTGCTTTGCTGCAAACTGGAAAGGCAAATAATTCTTCCATGATGTCGAGTGGTCAAAGCCCCCTGAACTTGAGCTATTCACGGATGCCTCTGATGCTGGCTTCGACGGTGTCTATCAAGGACAATTGTTTTGGAGCAATGGGCCGCTGAGATGCAGGATGAACCAATTATGATTCCTCTCTTCCGAGAACTGGCTCCCACAGCCAGCCAATGCCCGATGCCAACTCCTCCGCTCAACTTTCTGCTCTGATTGCTGCCAACAATGACCTCATCAGAGACTCATGCTCTGGTCCTACAGCCCAGACAACCCCGGTATTTCCGCGTACATAACGGTTTGTTAAATCCATTCTCCCCCCCCCCCCCTCTTATCCCCACCGCTGAACGCATTATATCCTTTGCTTCTGACCTCTGTGTTACAAGTGCCTGTCGCTGTCGACTATCCATGTGTACTTAGCTGCCGTAAGATACCACTTGCTCTGTAATAGCGTTTCAATTGACAGTCTCAGATCTGTCCGCTCTGTCTGTCTTCTAGCACATGCGAATACGTGGACTTACCTTTGACGTAAACGCGGACGTGCGTATAATAAAGAATAATAATAGTTTTGGCCAAAACTGTTTCCAACCTCCTCAACCCTTTACCGACGGACCGACCATGCATTGATCGATCCCTGATGAATGATAAATTCAACTCAAATGAGGTAGAGAAGAAGTAGCGAGGACCCGGCCATTATGGAATCCAATACACCACACCACCACATTGCGCTCTTGGCCGATCCAAACTCTGCACTCACATCACCATCACCACAGCGAGGACAATTCCGGTGTATAGATTGATATTGACAATGACCCTCCAGACAGCTGAGGAGCTCAGGAGGAGCGAAACAGCTGTCTGGAGGGTCACTGTCAATATAAATCTATATACCGGAATTGTCCTCGCTGTGGTGATGGTGATGTGAGTGCAGAGTTTGGATCGGCCAAGAGCGCAATGTGGTGGTGAAGTGTATTGGATTGAAATGAGGTAGCTCGGAAAAGAAGTCAACACGTACCCATCGGCTATTGCACACTCTGGAAAGTTCATAAGTTGAGAGAATGGAAAAGGGAAAAGTCTGAAGAAAAAAGTAATTACTCAGATGGTGATCCAAGGAAATATTAAATTTAAAAAAAGGAAAACGGTGGGGCACAAGTTATGCGTTAGTAGCTTGTGTTCGGCTTGATGGCGCTTACCTTCCACTCTTTGGAATTATCACTAATATCCATGAACTTTCCAAGTTGGAAGGCCGTTGGTTAGCGCTATCAAGCAGTGCTCAAGCTCACTTCCTTGCAGTGGAATGTCTCAGTACTCCTTGTCAGTCTGGTGCACGTCTGACTGTTCAAAAACCTGGTTTAGTTGGTGGACTCTAACGCATGGTTCTGATCTACTCACCTCCCACCGTTTCGGCGCTGCATCTGCGCCTTGATCCTAGAGGGTGGTGGCATTCCCACGGCGGATGCGGAAAACTCGGCTTCCAGCCGAGTCTCACGCGAACTGTGAAATTTTTTTCTCTTTTTTTCTCTAACGCATAACTTGTGCCCCACCGCTTTCCTTGTTTCAAAAAGTGACTGCCACCACCATGAATCGAACCAGTGACCTTCGCTTGAGGCCAGCGATGGAAAGATACGTACACTTAACTCCAGAACAGAACAACAAGGACAATAAAGGCTTGTTTGCTGCCAGCAAACAAGCCTTGATTGTCCTTGTTGTTCTGTTCTGTATTACGCTCTGCCTCCGCGGTGTTGAGCACTGTCAGCACACTGGGTACACCCTCCGGTACCCTTAACTCCACATCACTTACTCACCTTTAAGTTCTGGAGCGTCAAATCTGTCTGCCCTTTCGATGGATCCTGGATTAACAAAAAAGGGAAAACGAGACAAAGCACACCAGTATGTGCATGACTACACCTATACATGACCATCCAGGCAGACCTTTGTGAATACGGAAAAATTCCGGCGTCTCACGTTTTGCCAAGAGGCAACCTGTCACATCGGAACTGTCATTGTTTTTGTTTTGTTTAAGGACCCAAACCATCCCGTTATTGACATAGCATTGGGATAGCTATCTTGACCATGTTAGAGTGCTTACATTGTGTTTCTCTTGTACTGTAAACTGCTTAATGTTTGCTGCGTATTACAGTGCGGATTGGCTATAGGGTTGTCGGCTATAGTAATATACCTCTTATAGTGATGGTATTCTCAAATTCATTTTCGTAAACCACCACTTTCTATACATATCGGATCGGCTATAGTAATAATCGGCTATAGTAATATATCGGCTATAATGATACGATTTCTTTGTCAAAATGATCTTATTGCATACATTTTTCATCGGCTATAGTGATGATCATAAAAAATTATACATTGTACATGGCGAGATCTGATCGCGGCAGCAAGGAAGCGCTGGTACGACTATGATATCCGTCGGAGGAAATTCGAAATGTTTGGCGTTGGCTGTGCTTGTTGTTCCGGGGCATCCTCGAGCGAGATCGGAGGCAGTAATGAGTTCCAGCGCTGAAGTGCTACCGTGGTCTCCGCCGAGATGTTGGAGAAGGCATTCAGGTAACTGCAAAGACGATCAGGGACGCGGAGAAGCTTCTCCGTGACATACGACATCACGCGTCGATCGACCTGCCACTTGGAACGGTTTCAGCGGTGACGAGTCGAGCGATGGCGACCCAGACTGAGACTCTACTCCCACTAATCGATCCTGTAGATATTGTTGATAATTATGTCGATTGAATGTGTTGAAGTGTTTCTCTTCCAAAAGCACACATTTGTTGAGGACAGCAACTCCTTGAAAACTCATGTCAAAAAGTCACGAAGTTTTTGTGTCCGCAGTACAGAAAGTAGCTCTGCACTGCGCGTATTGTACAGTCACATGCACAGCACGCTTCTGCACGCTGCACTGATTCGAATGACACCATACACGCATTTGTCAGGCATACCTAAGTATGCATATCGCCTATAGAAATATATCGCCTATAGTGATATTTTCACGAAAATCAAACACCAACGCTATAGCCGATCCGTACTGTATTGTTTGCTAATTTCAAACACCAACGCTATAGCCGATCCGTACTGGATTGTTTGCTAATTTCAAACACCAATGCTATAGCCGATCTGTACTAGATTGTTTGCTAATTTCAAACACCAACGCTATAGCCGATCTGTACTGGATTGTTTGCTAATTTCAAACACCAACGCTATAGCCGATCTGTACTGGATTGTTTGCTAATTTCAAACACCAATGCTATAGCCGATCTGTACTAGATTGTTTGCTAATTTCAAACACCAACGCTATAGCCGATCTGTACTGGATTGTTTGCTAATTTCAAACACCAACGCTATAGCCGATCCGTACTGGATTGTTTGCTAATTTCAAACACCAACGCTATAGCCGATCTGTACTAGATTGTTTGCTAATTTCAAACACCAACGCTATAGCCGATCTGTACTGGATTGTTTGCTAATTTCGAGGGAAGAGCATAATAGGAATAATAACCATCGTGAAATCTGGAGATTGACAATCAATTTTGTTTGCTTCGCTGCATGCATGCTTGGCTACTAGTAGCGTACATGTAGTAGAAAACCAGGGATTGAGTATGACGGCATGTGGCATTTTTCAAGGCCACATCTCTAGCACCTACGCTCAAGCTGTGCTCTTCACCTTCGCAGATCTACGGCTACGCTGTATAGAAGGCGCTTCATGTAGTGCAGTGCAGTGCAGTGCAGTGCAGTGCAGTGCTACTGGAAATATACCCGTACATGTAAGTGGTACGGTAGTGTAGTAATGCCTATCTGTGAGATATTGCATACGATCACCAGACAGCCTCGTTCTCTAGCTCTCTCTCTCTCTCTCTCTCTCTCTCTCTCTCTCTCTCTCTCTCTCTCTCTCTCTCTCTCTCTCTCTCTCTCTCTCTCTCTCTCTCTCTCTCTCTCTCTCTCTCTCTCTCTCTCTCTCTCTCTCTCACACTCACTCTCTCTCTCTCTCTTTGATCTTCCTTTCTCCATTCTTGATTATCACCAACTCCTCTCTCGCATTTACCTGAGTTTACAGTCTTCTCCTTGTACCTTCTTGTTTTCCCGCACTATCTCTTTTCTACGTTGCTGGCGATCCACCATGGCAACGCTCGTACCTTGATTTTCTGGCCGCATGCTTCACTGCTTTGTTCTTTGAGTTTTCTCCATCGAGACAAGAGAAGCATATTTTCCTTACAATAATGAATATTCGAGTCCGATTCTAGAAACTGTAAACTATCATGTGGTAATGCAGTGCTGTTGACACATGATGACACCTCCCTTCCCTTTCTTCTTTTGATATTTTAAAATGCTATTTTCCGTGGTTGGATTCACCCTCCCTTTCTTGTATTGGCTACGTATTATTATGTGCCATGAAGTGGAGACGATAAATAAGTAAAAATAAATAAATAAACAGGCCATTCACACAACTGCAAACACTTGCAAGCGTGTGACCAAGATAACACTGGCTAACCGTGATCCAGTCCACACGGTGCTGGGCAAACTTTGCAGACGTCAATGTATCCATCCCGGGAAATTTTAAATATTGAATTTTCCTTTGTTCCAGCCTTGCATTTGCAGTACACGCAAAGTATATTCGGAGCACAAGGGCTCCGGCCAAGTTCAAAAATAAGTTGCGTGCGTGTGTCCAAGTTTATCGTAGGTGAGTAAGTATCCCTGGAAACGGTACGATAAAGTGAGTTTGCACGTTGTGTGAATGGCCTATAAGCTTAAAAACCTCTTTAGCTGCCCCTTGCACATACGTCCTACCATGTGGTTGCCTGGGTGTAAGCCTAATCATTTCGTCCACTGTGACTCTCAATCTGGGCCAAACCTTGTCTCGAATGTCTGTGTGTGTGTGCAGTTTTAATATTACTTTTACTAAGCGCACACTCATATCACAAACATTGCCACCAAAGTAGATTTGTGTCCAGAACGTTTTCTTGTCACAATCATCAGGGGATCTTATTATGTGAAGAGAAAGGACCTATAAGTTACGAGTTGCGACTAACAGTCCACCAAGGTAACGAGATAATAATCATACAGTCAGATAGTGCGACAAGGCACAAAACGGACAGGGATTTCGAGTCATAATGTTGTACATGTGGCTGCGCTTGTGTCTCTTCGTAGTACATGCGGTTGCACGTGTAGCTCTTTGTCGTACATGTGGCTGCTTTTGTGTCTCTTTGTTGTACATGCTGCTGAGTCGTGGTACATGCTGCTGCGCTGTTTTTGACTCCTGCGTACATGCGGCTGCACCGTCTTCTGTCCCCGGTGGTACACACTTGCTCGTCTTGTCCCCGTTGTACGCCTTCAATCTAATATATTCTGTTGTCTTGTCTTGTCTCAGGTCAGTCGTCAGTCGTTCGTTGTCAGTGTTAGTTGTCTGATAACCATGAGTTCTCCAGTCGCCTTACTGAAAGCGAAGTAGAAGAAAAAGCTCTCTAACAATTTGCACTAGTCCTTTGTTGTGTGGCGTGGCGAGGAGCGTAGAGGAAGTTCGTTCACGGTTCTCAAACCGTGACGACATTTGGCGCCCAACAAATCGTATCCACGACCCTGAGTTCGTCTCCATATCAGCTGTGTTTTCGTCTCCTCTTCGTGTTCTCGCCATGGCCCAGCTACTTGAGTCTCACGAACGTCCAAGCCTCTCATGAGAGCGCCTACTCAGGTGAGAATGCCGTTGTAATTGTCTACTCTGCGTAATGTGTTGCCGTAACTTGTATTCGATTTCGAATTTTTTCAAATTGTTTTGCGTTGGGTGACTCTGGTCCCGGCAGGAAGTCCGTGGAACCTTGTTCTCTTGTGCTCGAGTGTGTAGTGTAGTCTAGCTGCTCGTTGTAAGTTCGCCCCGTTGTGTTCGTTGTTCCTGTGTCGCTCTGACTACCCTGTACTGTACGGTTGTGTGTATGAAAATTTCAAACTTCTGTTCGTGTGCCACGCGTTCGAATCTGGAACTTGTTTTTTGCTTGCTCGTCGTGCATTCAGCATGGGTAGCTTTGATCTCGTCTTGTGTTGTGCACTTGTGCTTGTCACGGAGACCGAGTTGCCGTCGGACCGCTCCGATATTGTGACTGTGTCGCGTGATTTGTTTGGATGTCCACCTGAACGTTCTCGAGGTGCTGCCTCGTTTGTAGTCGATCCATATTGTTTTGTTTCGTGTTTCTACCGTTTCACTAGTACTAGAAGTAGTAGTAGTAGTAGTTTCTCCATGTTCCGTGCAGAGCGTTGTCAGGCTCGGTCATGCACTGTGCACCCAGTCGGAAAGCTGGTGGCTTCCGGTTTGGTGGGAGGTGTGAACTTCATGTAGGATTCTCGTTTCGGATCCAGGTTGAATTTTTTTGTGAGCGTATGGTTTTGTAATAATTGTGTTTCGGCATGTAGGTCTCTCTAGTTCGTTTGGGTGGGCGTCTGATCATGGTGAGCCACGGTCTGCCTGGTGGTCTGCAGGGATCCTGCGCTTTTTTGTATCGGTTTGCCTTGCGGGTGTTATGGTTTCCGTGTGTTGCTGGTTGGCCCTTGTGTGCCCCAGTCGGTGCCTGACAGTTTTTTTTCTTCGGTTTTTTGGTTTTGCGAGCGGATGTACTATAAGTTCCGTGTTATTCAGGTTCAATCCCTGTGGTTTTTTCAGGTTCAATCCCTGTGGTTTTTTCAGGTTCGATCCCTGTGGGTTTTTCAGGGTAGCGCCCTGTGGTTTTTCTTCATTATCTTTTGCGTATTGGTAACCGATTTGTTTGTGTGTCCTCAATGGTGTCCTCACTGATTAATTGCTCCTGTTTCAGTCGACGTGTTCTTCCTGGCTGTTCTTCCCTTCCTTCGTGTGCTTTTCTGATTTTGGCGATGGCTGAGATGTTTGCGTCAGTCCGTGTTTCTTTCTGTGTGTGTCTTTCTGTCTCTGTGAGCTTTCGTAGCCCCATCGGCTGCGTGATGGCTTGCTGCGTGATGGTTTTCCGGACAACTCCTGTGCTTCCAGATGCCTGGTCACCCGGTTCAGCTGCCGCGGTCTTCGCAGTGCCATCGGTTTGCCTTGGCTTCGTACCAGGGCAACGTGGTTACTTCCTGGCGGCCCACGCCTGAAAGTATGGCGGTTCCCTCTATGGGTGGGCCCGGTCTGTTTTCTTTTCACACATTTGTGCCTTGGCTTTTTGTCCGGAGTTACGTCTCTTACTGTTTTGGCCCTGCATGTTTTGTTTCTATTCTCCT